GCACGGATGCACGTAACCCCATCAGGAACGCTCACTCGACGTTGAATGCAAATGAATTACAAACGCCGTGCGCGCACGAGTGACACACGCCGCGACCACGAATGAACAACATCCCACTTACCCTGTACTCCGGTTCAGGTTTCGTGAGTATGCTGACCACGACGGTGACGACGAGAGTGACGAAGAAGAGTATCATGGCCACGTACATATAATGAATTTTGCGGACGATTGCCGGCCTATTGTCCTCTTCGTAACACGGCGGTGCCGGATAGATAAACTCCAATATCATTCTCGTGACTCCACCGGCAACGCCCACGCACACGCCGATGAAGGCACCCTGAAATGATGCGATACACATATATGCCCTTACTAAGCACAGTATTTTATTGCGTGCCTCTTTGCGTGGTTTATACATGCTACGCCTGTACGTGTGCTACACGAAAGATCACGAACCTGAAACGACCCGATACGCATAATATCAGAAGTAGATAATAGGGAATATTACCTATTATCTACTTCTGATAATATATACCAGAGAGTGAATAAGGACAAATGTGTCATTATGACAAAATGTGAATTATGGAAAAATGCCAATTTGTCATTATTCATCTCCTGATATATAAACCCTTATTAAGCACTTTCATCACGCGATTCGTTGCGTGGTTTATATATGCTACGTCTCTGTATGTGCTACGCGACCGATAACGAAAACATTGATAACTCGTTCCTAGCATCACTCCGAACGCGTTAGTTAATAATGTCTGCCCTGCCGTTAAATCTTGGCCGTCACAACCGCATTATTCACGCGTCGGGAATGCATGCATCAAGCGCAAATCTTGCATCGTTAGCTCGCGACGCATTAGTTTCTACTTATACCATGATCATATGCACCCCAGGGGGTGTGAACACTATACTATGAGCTAGATAATTGCCAGCCAGAAAACAAGCGATAATATAAGCCGGAGATATAAGATATATATGAGCCATATGAAGCACATGAACTATAGGGTACATGTATTATGTTAATGCTTATAGCTATATCTTATATCTCTCTTCGTTACATAACTTCTAACACAATCTGTTACAACCTTCTATACCTTTTACTACTACATGTACTTTCTTTTCTTTTCACAATCTATACCTTCTACCTTCTCCTTTCTTTCTACATTCTATACCTTCTACTTTCTTCTTATTTCTACCATTACACCATATATACCATTACAGCTTCTACATGTATATACCTTTTCGTTACAGCGTGGCCACAGGATGGCTAGTATGTAAATGGCCGCCACCGGTGGAGAGAGTTGACCGGCGACCGCTTGGATGTAATGGTAGAGCTGTCCACTCTGCATGACGGTTATCACGGGAATCCAGGCGACGCTGATCGCAACCATGACAAGTACGAACACCCTGCACGCGACAAACGTAACGTGTAACGTAAACATAACGTAACACAACGTAACGTAAACATGTAACGTGCTTTGCAATAACTCGCTTTGCTGTACATTCGTTTGCAAAACGAATCTACTTCTACAACGAACTACCTACTACCTAAAGTAGTTCTAGGGTAGGAAGTAGTTACTTACTTTTACAAAGAACAATCGGCACGTCAAGTTTGTTAGCTAGGAAATTGTCATGCTAATTCATCCGGAGTCGCGCAACGTGGAAAAGTGAAGGTGAGGTATGAAAACTTTGATGTTTGGGTTTGTAAATGTAGGAAGAAGCTCCACGGTTTACGTTACTCGCAAGATATCACCAGAGGAAGTGGTGCATACTAGCCAGTAGCCACACTATATATATCTAACATGCATACTAGCTCTACTGGTCGTTGACAGGCGCTAGGCAGTCAGTGTTTTGCATGAACTGGCGTTTGAAATCAATAAGGTAAGTAAGGGAATGACTTAGGCGGGAGTCGAAGGCGAAACAAGTTCTTGCATTCCAAGTAGTATTCCAAGTAGTCGAACGTAAAAGGTAAGATCACATTGTAGGTGTTATTCGAGTTACCTGCACGCACCTGCCTACGTGAAGAAGTTCTCTCGAGGAGGCCTGCTTACGAACCCTTTTCCAAATGTCAATTGTAAACAGTGTGCTGGCGCTGTTGAAGATTGACGTCAAGTCACTCATCAGAGCAGCTAGCATTACTGCCATGATTAGCCCCTTCATGCCTAGTACATAGATAGATAGATAGATAGATATAGATAGATAGATAGATAGATAGATAGATAGATAGATAGATAGATAGATAGATAGATAGATAGATAGATAGATAGATAGATATATAGATATAGATAGATAGATAGATAGATAGATAGATAGATAGATAGCATATAGCATATAGTATCTAGCATATAGATAGATTCGCATGAATATCCCTAATTAGCATCTTGCCAAAAATACATCTGTTTAGTGTATTTTGGTTTGGGATTGTTTACATCTTCTAGACTAAAACCTGCAGTGAAAACGTTCAATTTAAGACGCTCGTGGCCTAGCCTTTGTGAACTGATTACATTGAGCAGATTACAATGAGCATGTACTCAATACCACATAAACATGTTTTTAATAAATACGAAAACTGGTACAATTTTGATAACATGCATATATTAATACCACGCGCTACGACACCCCGGTTTAAGTAATTTTTTATGCGCGTCATCATATTTATGCAAATTATTACCACTCCACTCGCGATACGTAACGAAAATGTGGCGAGATCCATCGACGTAAATAAACCTTATATACAAATAATAAATACAGCCAGCTGACAACAGGTATGTCATCTTTGATACGTGTACCGTACCACTGTCGCATTAGATACTTTGACCGCGTGCGCGTGGTTCTGCAATCCGTCGCTCCCTCCCACGCTCTTTCCAGTATACTCTACTATAGGTACATGTTACTTCAACAACAGTTATTCACATCACTCGCGGCTGCTACAGAGAGATTACAAAGAGAAGATCCGCCGAAATACGGCAACCAACTTTAGAACGTTTTCGCCCTCATAGGATGAAACGACCAAACCCGACAATGATACTGATAATGAAAACAAGCTAGCTGGCTGGGGTGGGCCTAGAAGGGGCTGACTACAGACCCACCCATGGGCGTCCGCAGAAAAAAATGCAAGGGGGACAATGTTGTCCTGAGATCGCCGTCCTGGGGGAGGGGTGTAAGGGGAAGGGGTGTCGCCCTCCCCTTTTGCCAGGAAAATTTGGCTCCCAGGAGAAAGCTTAGATGCAAAATGGTGGCACTTTTTCATCTATCTATCTATCATTCATTTTTTCATTCTTGATTTGCTTGTTATAGAGTCTGGCGGAAGACCAGGGACCGTTGGTCAGAAACATCGCTAATGTTAATGCTAAGATAACACTTACGACTAATGCTAAGACTACGAGAGGAGCGTTGACAGAAACACACACTGATGGCCCGTCCGCGAGAGTCTTTCTTGCGTCTTTTGATGCGCGACTAATATTGGTTTAAATGGCGTCTTTTCAATTTGAAGAGTTTGTTATTTTATTTCATTTTGTATTTTCCATGTAATTTTTTCAAATTTTTGATTTTCCAGGGGGGGGCAAATGCCCCCTTGCCCCCCCCCTGCGGACGCATGGACCCACCCCCACCCCTGTCTGAGAAAAATCAGTAGCTCGTCGGGAGAGCGATCTGCGAAAAAAAATTGCAGCCGCGTTGTCTGCGATTGTTTGAATAAGCCGCTTACTGCCATGAAAAATCTAAAATAGTATTATAGGTGCTCGTATGAAATATTAATTACAATTTCTAATAATTCTCAAGTTTTATTTTCCTATATAAGATTTCATCCGTATATAACGCTTAGATTTATCATTTATGATTTAATACTGGGTTGCCCGAGACTTGGCAGTAATATTCTAGTTCTATTTTCTAGTTTCTATTGCTGTTTAACTGAATTCAGTGCCAAGCAGGCTTCTCACAGTCAACTACGCCGTTAACGCCATATATAGCAACTAATAAAACAGTCTCGCCATTTTCTGTAAGAAATCATGTTGTCATATAGATATATAGTGTTTGTGCATATCTCTATGGTTCTCTCTAATACCCAGCTAGTATATAGCTATGCGACGGGCAGAATATATCCTAACCACATCCTTATCATTGTGACTAACTATGTGCATACTCGCATGTACACGCATTCCCGCATGTTAACGCATGCGCACGCAGATACACGGGTGCGCGCACACGTACTCGCGTGCGTGCAAGCACACGCGCGCGTAACAGTACACTCTAGCGTACTAGTACACGCGTGCGTGCAGATACACGCGAGCGTGCACTTGAGTTTACCCCTTCCCTATACCTTAGCCTGTGACAGGTACACTCAATCTCTAATGCCACCCATACCAGCTTGTAATGGTGTCTGTTTCAGTAACTCGCTTTCCAGTGTTATTGTGATACTATGTTACATTATTAATTAATCGATAAATGCGTTTAAAATGTTTACTCGCATTCATAATTATAATTCTAGTACATCTTTTAGATAAACGCCCTTCCGTGGGAAGGAATCTCTGCAACTATATAATTGCAGTCAATAGGAAAACGTTGATTCGTGTTACGGATGTTTGCATCACTGACGCTTTATCTGGAACGCGGTACTTACGTAACGCGAGTTATGATTCTACCAAGAGTAGATAATAACACATAATGTGTTATTATCTACTCTTGATTCTACATGTAGTGAGTAGAAGAACAAAGATAGGAATACATTACTCCGCTCTATGTTGATGACCCGTGTTCTTTAACGAATGAATCTACATGAATTGAATCGAACGTTAATTGATTAAATCTTGAATTAACACTAAAAAATGCACAAACACAAAAAAGTGCGCACGTGCATCTTGTCGCAGCATCTCAGTATTTCAGGCTTTTGTTAAACATGTTTTCTTGAAAGGGTCTGCGGTACGGCTTTACTTAGAACAGGATATAACGTCTCGAAATTTGATCATCTTGAAAGCAACATGTTATTTATAGTATTGTGTGGTTACGTCTGTTCGTGTACGTGGTGCTTTTATGTTATTAGTACTGTAGACATCGTCAGTGATAGCACTCTACAGATTAGATGGAGCTTCCTAACAATAAAAAGCACGTACAAGAGTTTACCTGTTGGCATTAAATTCAAAACGAGTTTCACATAGGCTACGTTTGAACAGCCGGACTCGCTGCCACACACCGCTTGGCATACCTCCGGATCAACACAAGCGACCTCATCTGGATTAAAAATATACACGATAAATTGCACCAATGCTTTCAATTAACATTTCGTTAATTCTTGAAATATTATTACGTAATATTATAAACTATATTCACGTCGTAGGAAAGTTCTGAATATGATATGCGATTATCGTGCGTACTTATGTAATTGGTTTTCGGTGCTGATATATATATGTTATGATAAGAAATATTATTTAACGCAAACACGTACAATCTTTATATAAATACAATTGCATTTGAGAAAAACAAGTCATTACACACTCAGGTTAGTAATAGGAAGCGTAGATAGCCACATCCTAAAGGTTATAAAGCTCATGCCTTCCCCACTACGTCACCTGAGAGTCCGTGACTTGTCGATCTAAATGACAGATATTCCTAACTATGACATGCATATATCGGTCAAAGTGTACTCTTCACGCTATGTCACTTAGTATCGAACTAGCAGCAAGTAACAGAAGGCGTATGCTGCTGCTTATGTAAGCGGGACAAACCAAATGTGAAACTCGTACGGGAGCCATGCATTACGTGATCATATACAGACTAATACCCCGTGCAGACTGCAAATTTGATCCGACATCTAACTAGTCCGGGCTAGACGCGCGGTAAGTTTTTGCAGTGCGTACGCGCAATATCCCGGGCCACATACGCGCCAGTCTAAATACGGGGCCTGGATCAAATTTTGCAGTCTGTACGGGGTATAAATGCTAGCGGTCCGTGCGCTCATGTGGGCAGGTCAAGGCTTATTACCTGTGTAGAGCACCCTGCTGATCATGCCCGGAATAACAAGAAGCCACACTGGCAGAGTTTTAAGAAACCCCGCGAGAACAACTCCGCCCTGCGCGTGGGATAGATTTTTCGCTGCCAACGTTCGCTGCACCATCATCTAGAATGCAGCAGGCAAAATTCATTGTCATATCTTGAGTTGAACATGACCGACCAGATGCGACTTTAGTAGTTGGGTTATTATGCGAGTGTTTACTCACTCAAATAGCGCTAGCGATCGCATTGATAGGGTACCGTGTAAAAACGATTAAATATAAAATATATTTTACTAGAATATACTATTGAAAACATAATTAACATGCACTCGCACGTACGCACGAACGCACACATGCATGCGTACCCACGCACACATGCACACGCACGCGCACACACACACGCACACACACACACACACGCACGCATCCACACACGCACGCACGAACGTCAACACCCGAATGAGATAACATCAATAGCTAATAATACCTTTTTTATTAGGTATTATTAGCTCTTGATAACATCATGAGTAGATAATAGAAGAGGTATTATCTCTTATCTTCTATTATCTACTCCTGATAACATATAACACGCAAACTCGTATGCGCCATGGCAAAATAATTTTTTCAGTTTGTCTGTTCCATTATTTGCTTCGTCGGCCTGAAACCATAATAATATTATTTGTTCATCCTACCTGGTCCGTACACCAATACCAGATCGATGCCGCTGTCTGTCCAAATAGGAAACCCGGCCAGGGTATGTCGCCGGTCACCGGGTCTCGGAGCATGATGAAAGAATCGACACGAGGGACACCGCAACCCGTGTTATACGTGGAGCCATTAACTAAACGAGTCGTGTTCGGTATGGCCATCATGTAGGATCTCTCTAGATTAGCGTAGCTTCCGATTTCCTTCCAACCTGATAGAAAACAAATAAAGCCGTAGTCCACTACAGTCACCGAGTGCATTTAGAGCCCGCAGACATGGCGAAGAGTGATTGCGTGTATGGTAGATTAATATTACGCCTGCGTTTCGCCACAGTTCTAAATCCCGTATAGTATATTTATAGCAGAGAAATATCACGGCCTCTTGGCGATATTGTAGCGGAATAACATAGACAATTAGACTTATAGCCGTTATCTAGTTGTTATCGGGAAATGTGAACGTAATTAGTTAATTTTTTTTTTTAACAGGAATGAACTTGAACAAGAAGCGACTCACTTCCGGACACACTTCGTATAGCAGCATCGTACCAGGAGTAGATAATAGCAGGAGCGTATAATGACAATATTTGTCATTATACGCTCCTGATAATAGGGATATATTATTATTAGGGATTCCATATTATCTACTCCTGATCGTACTTATGCGGCGCGCTACACTGACAATCATACTTAGTATAGCAAGTGTTCCTGCTCCGCCCACCATGATGATAGTCTGCACCGTATCTGTGTACATGACAGCGGCCAGACCGCCTACGCAAACAACAACATGCGTTAGACGAATGCGCACTGCCTTATCGGATATATATATAAATAAATAAATAAATAAATATATATATATATATCGTAAAATACGTAGGAAGCTGAAAACTATATTGGGACAAATCTGATGTAGCCGGCGCGCATGAGAGATACAGAAATACACGGAATGCCATCGGAAATACTCTCGTATAGTATTAGACAGTATTGCTGCGACGCCAGCTAACCTTTCAACACTATCTGTATATATTTAGATAAACAAAAATTCTTAAGGTTTTGCCTAAAAATTCCTATTCCATTTACGGAAAATCCGAAATGGCGTTGGATTCAGATAAACAGTTCGTTGTACCTGTTATTGTAAAGAATGCTGTGAGTAATAGCAGTATTCCAATTGATAGATAGAGATCCCAATTTAATGACTGTTGTATATACAGAGCACCGCTATATAGGTTGACCTGAAAACATTATAATGATTATGATGACGATTAAGAAACACGAACACAGGTAACAGTCATACAATTAATATTAGACACTCATGGTCGTACACAACTAATAAAATGTATTACATTTCCTATCGTGCTACTATTAACTTGTAGGTTACATTACGTAAGAAATCATACATACGTCACATTACTTGCGTATTAGTGTATTACATCGTTGTGCAATTATTAACGTTTAATTTGTGCTTCTTAACTAATAACGTTTACGTAATTAACATATTTCAACACTCACAACTAGCTATCTAGTAACGATAATGACGATAATATGTCAGCTGCGTGACTAAAATGACGATATCGTCCTCTTAAATAGTTATCAAGCAGGCAGTTGATTTATAGATAAATTTAACAAATTTTATATAGTGTGTAACTTTTATAATGTTATCTAGACACAGAATACTCACTGAAATCTTCGTAAAGATATATAAGAAGAGAGAAAGAACAGAGAGAAATACTCTCAGTCGTGTGCCACCGAACCGCTTTTTTAAATATTCGGGTAGAGTACAGGCCTTAAAAAACAATAGTGATAAATCCTAGATAGGTTACGAAGACATTCAGAACAAAAGTAATAGTTTTCATTTTAATAAACCAAAGATTATGCGGCGTTAACGAAAGCTTGCGAACGTAACAGCTAATTATCCAAGCAAACTGCCAGCAAAGTGTAGGTAATTATGCAAGCCTTCATTAAAAAAAACGTTGAGAAAATACGAAGTACAAGCTTAATGCGATGCACAGTTAAACGATTATATAACATTTTACATACAATCACATAATGATAGCTATATGGATAAATGAGAGTGATAAGCTGTTGTAAAAATTTAGTGGCTTTGCCTTATAGACAATAATTTAATTATCATAGTATCAATTAAGAATGACTACATATCGTCAAAAAGAAAAATTGTCACAGATAGACTACTACTCACCCCACTTGCGATATAAACCGGCAGAAAAACCCAACCTAGCAGCTGCAAGAATATCAGAGCGTTAATCTCAAACGCTCCGACACCAATGCCGGATGTAGCGCCTGATCCAGCCAATCCTATAAAGTGTTCGCTGCCGATGTTGCTAGCAAAGATTGAGGCACCAACCTATAAAAAAAATCCATGACGATATTACGTTTTGAACAAGAGAGGTTCGTTGTCTGACTAATGGTCTGCATATTCATTTTGGTAAGTTTAAAATTTAGCTCTATTTTTTAATTATATAATGATTAATAATATAGGACCTAATATTTGTATTGTACCTAATATTTCCAATAATAATATTAATGGACTGCCATAAGTAGACACGCAAGCGTACTATTACTTTGACTCTTCCTCGCGTACACAATTACGTGTGCTTTCATAATTATTAGAAGCCCTACAGCTGGTATAATAGGTTCATTAATACGAGTATGTGAAACTGCAGACATTTGGGATGGGATCTTCAATAACGGCAAATGACAATAGTTTTCAATAGTGATCACTTCCCCACATCCGTGTTCACCACGCATCACGCCCGTCACACGCGCACGCACGCACGCACGCACGCACGCACACACGCACGCACACGGGCGCACATGTACATGTACATGCGAACGCAGACAGACGCGCAAGCACATACGCACATATCGTCAATTTTTGTATTTTTAAATGCCAAAATTATCTTCAGCTGTAAATAGAGGTGCTTATCGACATGAAGTAGTTTGTTTTCCGATAGCGTTTTATACTAAAACGAGTACTGCGATGACCGAATACATAAGATATGTAACTAATATCAGGAGTGTCATAATATAAATGATATCTATATATTATCAGTGGTTAATAATGACAAATTTGTCATTATTAACCCCTGATATTATGACACTCCTGCTAGTATCGGATAAGTACTTACTGGTAACCATGTCATTAATCTTCCGGCTAGAAAGTATCCACTGACGGTTCCACGGTTGGCGCGAAACAAGGACTACCAATCAATAAACACATGTATTAGCAATAAGTATTCTTTTCAGTTTGCGATTATGCATTGTACTATGATATTCCTTCACTCGGTAAATTTTTTAAACGAGTGTAAGTTAATTAACAATTAGGGGATATAATTGGGTATATGATACATGTTTACAATTGTCTCAAGTTGTTATTGTGTACACAAACATAGTCGACGTGCTTCTCGCATAAGTGCTAGTTGTGGAGAAATAATCTCTCTAGTTAGAATGGTAGGTAGGAAAGAGAATGCTACTTTCACTTGGGCAGATAATTGTTAACGCAACCTTGCCTAGAGTGTAACCGCAAGAAAGTCACAATTTCTCGGATTGCTCATATATTGTTCACCGATCCAGGTCGGTCACACTCTAGACATATTATTGCAGCTTTTATATCAATTATAACGTATTCCGAGTACGACGTGATACGATCCCTTTGACCGAAACCGCGAGTGCAAACTGCATCTTAAGTTATAGTGAAGACTCGTGTTGAAATAACGGGTGAGCATAAGTTCGATCGATACACGGAAACCTCGCTAATGTGACGTCATTCCTATATACGGTCGAACACCTACATATGGTTGAAACTAAATGGACGAACTAATTGGACAAATTGAAACTAATTGGACTAATTGTACTAATTCAGACGCTTGAACACTTTACTGTCGCATCTACGAATCCACGAATCTGCGTGGTCGAAGCGCGTGATATTAAATCTAACAACGTGTCCAGATTGCCTTTTGACTTAAACCGTTAAGGTTAAGATTAAGGTTAAGGTTAAGGTTAAGGTTAAGGTTAAGGTGAAAGTTAAGATTAAGGTTAGGTGTATAGCGCGGGTTTCCAGTTTTTCTTGTATAACTTGACGATGCCTTGCAGGTCTCCCCCGGCTGTTTCGGGCTCATGCCACATATAGGCATATATACCTGGCTATTATCTTAATATATTGCTGTAGTTAGAACCAAATATGAACGCATTCGCGCACAGTCGACAATGGAAACTTAACACGTATTAGGAAATAGCGCGGGCTTCACACGATACAAGCGCAGCTATTCACGCGGTTGTAGTGTGTGAGCGTTTACGAAGAGCGACGCGGTTATCTTCCCGTATAGTTTTGACCACGCACTACTTTTAACGCCTCGATCAAAGCGCGATAGCGTAAATATGTGTCAGTGCATATTTAAAAACGCCATTTTAGATGCAGTGCGAACGCAAAGCAGCCTTGTTAGTGAGACTAATGGTTTTACTATTTTCACGTAGGCTGCGACAATCGCCTTTTCCGCCGTGGGGAGAAGATAAGCAGCAATGTTTGCGGCGTGTCGCGCGCCTCCCGGTTGTATATTCGAAATTAAACTTGACGAACGAGCGGCGAGTTTTGCGCGCTTATCGATGCACGGCTTACACGCATCCGTTTACCGCAACGCAAGCGACGACAAATACAGTTAAACTGTCTTCCCTTCGGGTGCCTCTGAGGGTGGGGGTGCGTGCGCGCGCGCGCGTGTGTGTGTGTGTGTGTGTGTGTGTGTGTGTGTGTGTGTGTGTGTGTGTGTGTGTGTGTTGTTGTTGTGTGTGTTGTGTTGTGTGTGTGTGTGTGTGTGTGTGTTGTGTGTGTGTGTGTGTTGTTGTGTGTGTGTGTGTGTGTGTGTGTGTGTGTGTGTGTGTATGTATGTGTGTGCATGTGTGTGCGTGTGCGCGTGCGTGTTTGTGTGCGTGCGTGCGCGCGCGTGCGTGTGCCTGTGTGTTGTCAGTGCGTTGTCAGTGTGTCTCGCGTTATTCATTGTCGGGCAGATGAACAGCCGAACGCGTTGTCAATCGCTCATAACGCCATGCGGAATTTCTGCCTTCGTCGTCAACGTGGATTACGACAGACATTTCACGAAAGTTGAATCACCGCACGTTTCATTCCCGTCTAAAATGAATTAGCCCGCGCGTCCGCTCGCGTATGTGTATGGTTATATCTCCCGCTCCATTTACGTTCAGTTCATGACGGGAGTACGGTAGTAATCTGTCTAATTGTGGTCGGTATACTTGTGCGCAGACTTGCTGCACTGATAATTGAACTCATGTGGTTGTCTCGTTCGCAACCCCAAACTGCATGCAGCGCCCCTTCGTACAACTCAGGATACGAATTGAGCCAGGGCGAGAGCGCCATCTGTCGTGGAGCTTGTCGCAACCCTTCAAAATGCCCGACAACAGCGTCACGATTCTGACGTCACACAGGAACGCCCACCTCTCGCCCGCCTGATGATGTATACGTCTCTTGACATTTTTATATTATGGGGCATTATAAGCAATCGGATAGACAGCCGGACCTCTGTAGCATACTGCGACGGTTGGCGCGGTGGGTGGGGGTGGGGGTGGGGGTGGGGGTGGGGGTGGGGGTGGGGGTGGTGGTTCAATGCAGTGTATATAGAGAATCGAAAATACTCGAGCTCAGAAAGTGATGACGAGAGGAAACATGCCGTGTGTGATAGCCGTGACGTTGCAAATGTCGTGTAATTTAAAACACATGAGAAAAACCGACGCTACTTCTAAAAACATTACCATGCTGTAGTTGGCCGGTATTTTACTCACTTTACCCCAGCGGTTTATATGCGTATTACACTTTACACAGCAAATATCTGGTTATTCCGTGTATTTGACGAATGCCACGTATAGAGAAATTAATACTTGCACTTACGAACAGAGAATTAATTAGGCCCCTACATGTAGCACACTTTCTTTAGAGTGGTGTATGACGAACCATATGCCGGTTGGTATAACGAGACAAGCGTCGATAACCAATGATGGCATAATATGCACTCTCACTGGCATACTATGGACGTTCTATTGTCGAACGGGCAAATCAAATTAATGTAATAGACTCGGTTGCCACGGAAATGCGTCGATCCGCTCATTTGCACCGGAAATCAGTGAATGAACCAATCATATATCACATCTACTTACATAAATCCCAGCTCCTAAGACCACAACGAAGTAGATGGCAATTGCGACGTAATCCCACGCCAATAGTTTATCGTTTCCTGTTGCCATTATAACTTCCCAGCGTTCGCCATCGAACTGCCCCCGCTATACCCAGTGCACACTATACCTACATCGTACTGGTAAACGCAACCTTTGAATCATTAAACAACGTTTCATGCCGTGCATTGTGTTATCACAGATACCGATACTGTACTCGTCGTGATAATCGCGAAATTTCAGTTGTTTACGGTCAGCAAATTCACTCTATGTGGTGTTTTGTCCGAATTTCTGCATTGTTAAATTACGACTTCGGTTTCGAGTAGGCTAATTAGGACTACTAAAGTCTCTATAACCTCTCTTCTCGAATATGCTACGCGACAGCATGCGTGGATATGTTGTGACACTTGGGAAAGATACGTGAGCCTGCTGATTTTATTTATATGCAAATGTGTGTGTGCGTACGTGTGTGCGTGCGTGCGTGCGTGCGTGCGTGCGTACGCGTATATATATATATATATATATATATGTGTGTGTGTGTGTGTGTGTGTGTGTGTGTGTGTGTGTGTGTGTGTGTGTGTGTGTGTGTGTGTGTGTGTGTGTGTGTGTGTGTGTGTGTGTGTGTGTGTGTGTGTGTGTGTGTGTGTGTGTGTGTGTGTGTGTGTGGTGTGTGTGTGTGTGTGTGTGTACGTGTAGTAGTGTAGT